AAATTTCTTTATTACTAGTACAGAGGAATAACAAAAAATTCAAAAGAAATTTTCTAATTTTGTTTTGAAATTATGTTTTAGATTATTATCTCTATTTATTTTAAGATTTCACAAATGAAGAAATGTTAACAATAATTTCTAGTTTTTGTATAAAGAAAGTTTTAAATTTTGTTTATAATTTTTGCTGGTCAAAAATGGGAAAATAAATTTCAAATAATGTTTATCATTATGTAAGTTATTTCTTAAGGCAAGAAATTGTGAAATGCCCCATGTGCTTGTCAGGATATCGTGCCATCACGTGAATAATCGGAATGCGCTGAATTTCAATTTCGCGTGTTGTGTCTATCTAAATAAGTCTTCAAGCCACCATCACAGGCCACAATGTCTATCAGACACTATGAATTCTGCCGCGGCTGAGGGTGAGTTTCTTGCATTTCTTTCGCCATGGTACCAAAGTACTCAGGATTCAGTACACCCTCAAAATCACCAAATCTCGACTCATACGTCTCTTCCCTCTGTCTCGATGTAGTGCATACTAATAAATCATTGCAATGTCCAGCGTAATTGAAGAGTATGTCCCTTGCACCGACTGCACTGCGACTTCACCCCCTCCCCTCCCCTACTGAGACATCTCTGCAGAAAGCAACTCAGTACGACCGATCGTTCTGGTAGTGAACCACCACGTTCCACTCGTGACAATCATCATGCACGGAAACCACCTAGTAAAGCTTCCGTGAAGACCAGGTAAGATTGATATACTTTCTACCCCGTCAAGCTGCTTACACACAATCGTCTCCAGAGCATCGAGTCGTGTTTCTTCTCTTTCCGCTTCCATGTAAGTATCCCGTTTTCTGTGACTTCAAGGGTCTCATCCGTATCCCTAGACTTTGTCGTACGCTGAAAACTTGGGAGGAATGGGCCACTCTCCATAAGATTCGCTTTATTGAAGAAGATTGGAAGAACGATGAATTCAATAATTTCATGAAGTCACTCAAATACCCGAGCTGTATTCTGGAGGAAGACGTAAGGCATCTATATTCTACCCCTCCCCCCAAACACATACACACACACATACAGTAATTAACAGGCCTACTAGGTAATACGTATGGTTGATGCCTGGCTACATCACCTTCCAAATGGTGAACAAGTTCAACGCGAGTTTAGTAGTTGGCGCGATCGGCTGAATAGCGACAAGATCGAGCTTGGTGACAAATATCAATTTGCGATGTCGCTACCAATTCTTCTTTATGCTTGGAAGACTGCCTTAATCCACGCTGAACCAAAGATAAACGAAGCGTCAAATCGCCGAGGCGCAGATATTTTAATTGAGCTTGCGTTTCAAAGTCGTCCCGGGGGCCGACTCTATATGGAGGTGCTTATAGCTCTGCATTACTGAATTTACATGCTGTACATTTAAATTTACATTATTATCTAGGGCTGAGGTAGATATGATTCTGCCAGGCCACCCGGATACTGTTAAAGCCGATGCTGTCGCATCACTAACCCTGCCGAGGGAGTGGACAAAACTCATGGGGCGACTTCGTAATCAACACGTGTTCTCATGGGCATGGTGTGAGAAATTGACCAAGTTGCCAGCATCGATTGTCACATTAGGTTTCGAGGCAAAAGTGGACGATCCCAAAGTTGTGTCTCGTCAAGTCCAACTTACCATGTTCTCAAGCCAGCTGCACCGGCGGGCTCTCGGTCTCACGGATGGACCAGTATTTGGCACTGTCCTTAGCGACAATAAACTTCATTTTTATGTCTCAGTTTGGGAGAATGATACAGTAGTGCGTATCATTTTGTGCTCTTTTAATATGTGCTTATTTTATGTAGGTTGTGCGATGGGTGAATGACATATTTGAGCTCACAGAGTTTGGCCGCTTCATCGAGTGCTACTTCTTTCTCTGCGGAATCTCAGAATTCCAGTCCTCGTGGCTCAAAAACGAGATGAAGCGTTGGGACGAAGATCGAGATAAGCAAGAGACAAAGCTACGGGAGTCGGCGACTAATCCCTGGCGAAAAGGTGGCAAAGAGAACAACAAAGGTGGCCGCCACGCGAACAATAGCAACCAAGATCGTGGAGACGAAAACGATTTGGGCGAGGTAGAGCCAGACGAAGCGGATCAAGACGATGAAGAGGTTGACGTCGGAACTTCAAGGAAGCACGATATAGAGCTTTTGGAAGATAGAATCAATAGAGGCGATTCGCTTCCCAAAGACGGTTACCCATTGACGGAAGTATCCCGCTATATTTTCGATCACAATCTGAAGTTTCAGTCACGTCGCCACGTACCATCTGTGTTGGAATGGGCGAGAGATTCAAGCCAGTTTGTTGGATATTACGAGGAGCGGATTCGGACTTGTTAGAATATACCACGGGCGAGGATGTAACCGCGTCCGCGGAGCCGGTCTCGTCTTCCGGCTTGAAAATTCCACGTGCAGTGCACTTACAATAAGTGCGAATGGTTGCACAGTGTAGTTCGTGTGCTTTTACTGAACAGATTAAATCAATTATATCTCCATCCTGCACAATGTCTGTTTGATTTAATAGTCCTTCTGTTGGTCGTCCAGCCTCCAGGGTGATTTTTCTCATTTAAATATGTCAATCTTTTAATGTAGGCATCTTTTTAGTGCTTACTAGTTATGCTTACCACAGTTGTGCATTTTGTGAATTTTCAACTTTAAGAGCAAATGTACAGCTTGCAAGTTTTACTAGAGTAACATCACTCTAGTAAAAGGTATATAAGGAGGCCAGTTTAGCCCTTAAAAGATAGTGTTATCAACTTAAGTTACCTAGTACTCAGAAGTACTCTACTACTAACCTACTAGGCTATACTTGCAGCTTGACTAAAGTAGGACTCCTCTACCCTCTCACTCTACAAGTCTACAAGTCTTACTCTCTATACTCTATTCTGTTACTATTCCTAAGGATTAGGACTAGTAAAGTGAGTATATCTTACACTATTTATGTGATTGCACATTACTATAGGACCTTTTTTCATGACAAATGATATACTTATTGTAGAGTGTTTGAAAATATGAGTAGTGAGTATGATAGTATGTTACAGACTTTAGTAACTCTCTTCACTGTTGTTCCTATGAAGTAGAGCTGGCTAATCCTTTAGACTGTATACTATACTGGTTTGTGTCTTCTATTAATCTTGTAACACTAGTTTGTGTTTTCTTGTATTCTAGATTAATCTTCTAATGACTCCTTTACTGTATTGTTATGTCTTCCATACTTCCTCTCATACTTCTAATGACTCCTTATGAGTCCTCCTAACTAGTTATACTGTGTAAGCTGTATAATACTTTTCTTATAAAGTAGAGCTTTCTATTGTTCCTATAACTCTGTCTGACTCAACCTGTACTTTCTGTACACTAGTTTGTAATACACTTTCTTATAAGATAGAGTATTATAACTTCTAATAACTCCTTATGACTTCTGTAATATAAAAGGCTATACTTCTGTACTACCTCTAGAACTTACAACCAAAGTTCTAGACTGTCTTGTGTACACCCTAGAACTAACAACTAATGTTCTAGATCTTTCCCTAAGTCTTCTTTAATAGACTTAGTTTAGGAGACAATTATCCTTATTAACTTCTAGCCTTATCCTTATACTTCTGTATTCAATCATAGAACTTACAACCAAAGTTCTAGATTGTCTCATGTGTTCCTCATATTGTCCTCATATAGTTCTCATGTTTATAACTTTATTACTTTCCTATCTGTATAGACAAAGTGTATAAAGGAGACTACTTTCCTATAGTCTCTCCTTAGAGCTCTCAGTTCCCTTTCCTTCACACTAGTACTAGTCCTCCTTAAGTATAGAGCTTTAGAGTATTGGCTCTAGCTCTTTACTAGCTTTAATAGTCCTTTGTCTTTGTACAAAGAGTTTCTAGCTAGCTATATAGTTTCTCCTATAAGTAAGTATAATATTTTCCTTTTATCTCTTCAGGTTTTCTCTTAGTCTTTTCTATTGTACTTCTTACTCTAGACACTATACTCTTTCTAGATCCCCTCTCTATACAAGCATTCTAAATGACTTGTCTTTAGTTAAGGTTATTAAATAATACTGTGCTAGAGTATGTATTTAACCTTAGAGAGATAAAGACCTTGTCTACAGGTTTTGTTACCTTTTCCTAACTGACTTAGTACTTACTCCTTCCTGTCCCCTCTCTCTACTAATAGATTAATCACTCATTAGTAATAATTAGAGATTAATAATACTAAGCTAGAGTTCTTACTAAGTAGGACAACAAAGGTAGCTTAGTTAATCTGACTAATCTTTAGACTTGTAACTAATAGAGTTTTGTATCTAAACTACTTGGTTCTAAGTCTTGAGTTAGGCTTTTCAAACCTAGTTACTGTATTTTACAATTCTTAACAAATAGTTAGTATACTCTAAAGATTCAACTTTGTGTAATGTGTCTATCCAAATTAAAATAAGTCTTTAAGCTACTAACTCAGACTACTATGATTGTCAGACACTATGATTCAGTAATCCTAGACTGTGTGTGTTACAGTTCTCTACTCTCATACTTTCAGTTCTAAGGGTTCTGTACTCTTCTGTACTAGAACTTAGGACTTCTGTCCCTTGAGAGTGTTGTCTATAAACTATATATGTACTAACTCTTACTACTACCCCTCCTTACTTTATTATTCTGTTCCTTTGACTATCCTTTCATTCTTTGTTCATTCTATAGTCTCTTACCCTTTGTCTATCCCTTCATTCTTTGTACCTTTATCTTTGACCTTCCTTTCTTTCATTCTTTGTAGCTTATCATTCTTAGTAGCTTGTATTTCCTGAGTACTCTTGTATAGTTTAGTATATATAGGTGTTCAAGATTAGACTAGTCCTATAGTCTTAATCTTGTCTACTCTAGATAGTCCTGTACTCTTAGGCTTACTCTATATACTCTACTCTTGTCTTACTCTCTCTCTCTGTCAGTTCTGTAAGTTCTAACTATGTTCTAGTACTTGTATTCTATATTTCTGTTGTGTAGAATAGTTGTAGTCTGGGTCCCCTTACTAAGCCTTCAGGTCCCCTCTATACTGTTACTAACATTAGATTAAGACTCCCTATTACTACTCTACAACTCTCCTACATTTTGAGTATTAGTACTTACTATTGTGTCAATCTCTTTTCTTTGTCCTAACCCTTTTACATTTTTAAATTTTAAACTTTCTAAACCCTTTTAAACTTTTACTACCTTTCTTCTATTCATTACCCCTTTTAGTTTAGTGTTGATTCCTTTGTAGTGTAAACATGGACTCTCCTACACTAACTGTCACCCCTGTTGTCCTACTAGATTAGTAGTTGTGAGCAGACTTAGCTTAATACATACAGACCTCTATCTAAGAAGCCTTTACTAACTATGTGCCTCTAGCCCTCTTAGAACCTGTTCTAATTGTTCTAAAGGTTGTAACCTGTTCTAGAAAGAAAGTACATGTAACTCACCCTTTAAACTTTAATGAGTAGTACTTTAAGGACTTCTAGTACTAAGTTAAACTATATATAACTACTACTTTAACTAATCTATCTTTAGATCTTAATTGTGTCCTATTTGTCCTCTCCTTTATGAAAGAAGGTAACACAGCCACCTAGGCCTAGAACTGGATTGAAGGACATTAGATCAGAAGCCTGATCCAACTTTAGAACAATGAGTTGTATTCAGAATTTATAGAGTAGCTCTGTACTTCCTTTATTAATCTAAATAAGAAGTGTAATATACAGAACAAGCTTGTGTCTCTGTAGTAGGGCAAACATTCTACTAATACCTTTTTTCAGGAGTTTGATATTCTGGCTCAGAAGGTAGGATTTGTACTCAGGTTTAATAATGTCCTTATTAGAATACTTAAGAAAGCTCTTTACCTAGAACTGGTTAATAAGATTCTTAGAATAATACTAGAACTGATTACTTACACTGAGTAGAAAACATGTACTATTTCCTTTAACTAAGTTATAGCTTAGATACATTAAGTCTGTATAGAATGCTTACACATATGTTCAGCTCTAACAGTTTTAAGCCCTCAGATTAATATACCTGTAATTTACAATCAATCTGTTCTGATAGACATTAGAGAAGTCTAAAAGTAAGGAGTATACTTTACTTACAGAAAGTCAGAGTACTAGATTAAGGACTATTTATAGAAGTGACAGTATATCTGTCAGGTCATTAGAGTAATAATGAGTAATGAGTAGGATTTGTAGTAAGAAGCCTTTTCTACAAATCTGAAAGTTATCTTAAAACTCCTAAACTCTGACTATGTACTCTAGGATTTTATAAAGGCCTAATAGTGAATGTAGTACTAAAGAGCTATAACTCAGATTTTTTAACAGCCACTTTTGATTCAATAGACACTGTAGGATTAGAAGTAAATAAAGTAAGAAAAGTAGAAAAAGTAGAAAAAGTAAATTAACAAAATTATTTATTAAAAAGAAAAAAGTTGAAAACAAAAGTAGATAGTTCTCTTATTTCTTCTGATTCTTTTGATTCTTCTCTTTACACTTTATCTGAGTCTAAATCTGTACAATCTGACCTACTACTTCTACATTCTAAGATCTTAGAATGTTTAGAACACTACCTAGCCCTGTTTACTACTTAGTAGTTTGTCTATAGTATTAAGTAGGGATAGTCTTAGCTAGGTTCACAGTTGAGAACATAAGTCTGTCCTTGTTGAAAGAGAGAGGTTAATAAGGAAATGTCAGTACATATACTTACCCTCTTAGATAATAAGACTGTGTAAGCTGTACATTCCCTTTAGAACAAGTAGTAATTTATTAGAGAATGTTCTAAACACTAGCTCTAGGTTTCTGTCCTCTTAGCTCTCTTCTTAGAGTCCCTTCAGATCCAAACAATAGTTCTAGCAGACAGTAAATGTACTAGTTTGTACATTAATAAGGCCTTTGTGTAGAAACACTACCTTCCTACTTAATGTGTTCTACTTCTAATCCTAGTATACAATACAGACAGAACTCTAAACTAGAATAGTTGAATTACTGAGTTTGTCTAACTATAGATGACTATTTAGGATCATAAGGAAAGTATTGAGTTCAGAGTCACCAACCTTAGAAAGACAGACATCTTTATTAGATTCAAATAGCTTAAGGCTTACAACCCTACTATTAACTAGTTAGAGTAGACACTTATGTTTAATCAGTGTTCTGAGTCTTATAACTATCTTACACTACTGTTCTAAGTAGATACAGACACTTTTAATGTTACTAACAGTTCTGATAAAGGTGACTAGTTGTTCTTCTTTAACTAGGGTGGATATGTGGACACATATTCTAGTTAAGAAGGAACAGAGTTGATCTAAAGGATGTTTGAGACAGAACCAGTCTAGAACCCTTTTAGAAC